CCCCCCTGGCCATGTCCATGGGGTGGGGGGTAGGGGGAGGGGCCAACCCCTTCCCGAAGGGGAAGAGGGAGGGGTGGAAGAGGAACCTCCCCAAACCACCGACGCCCAGAAGGCTGGTGGGACTTCTCGTCGCCCCCCTCTATCCCCCCATAGGCGTCTGGCTCACGCGCTCGGCAAAGCCTTGCGCCGCGCTGCCCAGAGATCAGTGATTCCCCTTTGACTCAATGGAGTGTATCTTGGCAGGCAGTTTGAACCTGGTGGTGTCATGTCCTCATTTGCCTTCTTCGTTTGAGCAGAAAATTGAGTTCGAACTGCCGACAACAGTACTTGTCATCGGAGCAAAACCTGATCCCGTGGACAATCAACAAGGAGTGGCGCAGGAGGCAACTGGCGAGGCAGCGCGCGAGCACCAAGGCCCGATTGCCCCGCGTGGTGATGATGTGGCAGCGGAGGAGCCTTTTTTTTTTTTTTTTTTTTTTTTTTTTCTTTTTTTTTTTTTTTTTTTTTTTTTTTTTTTTTTTTTTTTTTTTTTTTTTTTTTTTTTTTTTTTTTTTTTTTTTTTTGTTTTTTTTTTTTTTTTTTTTTTGTTTTTCTTTTTTTTTTTTTTCGTCTTTTTTTTTTTTTTTTTATTTTTCTTTTTTTTTTTTTTTTTTTTTTTTTTTTTTTTTTCTTTTTTTTTTTTTTTCTTTTTTTTTTTTTTTTTTTTTCTTTTTTTTTTTTTTTTTGTTTTTTGTTTTTTTTTTTTTTTTTTTTTTTTCTCTTTTTTTTTTTTTTTTTTGTTTTTTTTTTTTTTTTTTTTTATTTTTTTATTTTTTTTTTTTCTTTTTTTTTTTATTTTTTTTTTTTTTTTTTTTTTTTTTTTTTCGAGTACTCCCATTCAGATTACTGCTGCCAGATTGACTCGTGCGCCAGAGTCGATGCATTCATTGCTGGCCGCATACCTCCTCCGCCTACTCCGCCCGCTGTGGTCGAGCAAGACGCGCCCATCTTCGAGGCAGTGGGCAAGTGCCCGACGGAGCTGGCTGCTGTCAACCAACCGGGCGCGGCGCCCCAGCGCCGTGAGGAGCCGCCGCTGTCACCAGTTGCGCGTCTTTGCGAGCAGTCCACCGCGGGAGCTGCGGCCGACGCCAGCGAGGGCTGGCGCAGTGGTACGCCAGCGCCTTCACGCTCGAGCGGAAACGGTGGACCCGTTCCCATAATAGATGTAGATTTAGATGAAAGTCCTCCTATGGTTTCTGTCCGACCTCGCCTTAGTGTTAGTGAGTTTCACGGCAAGGTCGCTGTTCCTCCTAATGGGCTTGCTGAGCGCCAGAGCACCCCGTCCAAGGCTCAGAGCTTGGAGGCGTTTGCCAACACGCCATCCAAGAAATCGCCAGCGGCTGCCCAGGGAGAGCCACCGCCCAAGCGTCGCAACTGGAAGCTCAGAGATCCGCCCTTCAGCGGTGAGAACAGTGGTAGCGGCGTGGTCGGTGACAAAGCCACCAGCCAGTCAGAACCTAGGGTCCGGTGTTTCTTCGGGCAGCTGCCAAGACTCATCGCAGCTGTGCCCGATGGAGATGCTTAACCACCAGCTGGTGAGCACCAGTTGAATTATTCAGGATTTCTTTCAGGGGTAGGGCGTCAGACCGCCGCATTTTTGAGCCAGGCACTTAGGCCAATATGGCAAGTCGGAGCCATAGGAAAGCGTGATGAATGGTGTGATGATGGCGACCACGACAGATGATCATACCTATGATGATGGCGATAGGCGCGATGACGATAGAGACGGCGACCATGTTCACGTTTCAATTCGAGGGCCCTTCAGGGGATGTCTGGGTTGTTTATAGTTTCTCGCGGGTGCTTGCTGTTGAGTTCGCTGGGTCTGCCATCAGGCCGACGATATATTCAGCGAGCGGTTCTCAACTTTGTACGCTTGCTAACATTTCTGGTGTGTCCGAGGGGTTCGGCCGATGAAGAGTGACATCGAAGGGTGTCCACATATCACTCTCCAGCGTTGTGCTCACTATCGCTTTCTTTCGCTTGCTAACGTCATCTGCCCTGTCATCGCCCACCTTCCTCACCTCCTCTCCTCGCGCCCAACATCTTCCGCGCCTCCTCTCTTCTCTCAAGCAATGCCTTACCCAGTGTTTCTCCTGTCTCTGGACTCTCTCTTGCCCGACTCACGTCAGCAGAGCAAGCTATGCGGTTCAGCCTCGCATTTGTTTTCGTGACTGTTTGTTGGCGCCGCCGTCAGCGTCGATTTCCAAGTCCGCCTCTCTCTGCAGTCGGTGCTTGCAGCCTCTCCCCCCGCCTGCCTTGCCGCCGCCGCTCGTGAACGCCGACCCCCGATCTGAGAGCGCCCGAAGCTCGACAGTTCAGGCGCGCCCAACGCTCCCACGCTTTTGCGAGAGAGGCTCGGGGGATGGGGGGGGATCGACTGGGGGAGGGGGGGGCCCCTGTCCGCGCCAACCGCTGCTAATCACATGTGTTTGGGGGTCGGGGGCCGATTCATCGGATGCAGATGTCTGGCCTTGTGTTGGGTGGCCCCTGGGGCTTTGAAGTCCAAGGTGTTTCTGGTTCGGGCCCCGCCCCCTATCGCAGATCACAGGCAGGGATGTCATCAGGTCGATTGGAAGTTGGGGGCGCCGTGCCACCGTCGCAGTAGTTGCCTGGTAGATTGGTAGCAGCTGGCGTAGGCGCAATCGCACTGGTAATAATGTAATGAATAGGTGCCGTACTAGGCATGACTGCATGCTCGGCTGCAGACATCGTACTATGCTATGCAGACTATGCATTTTGGAGCGGCACGCGTCGAATAAGTAATCCAATGCCCGCGGTTATGGTCATATTGGCGGTAGCAGCGCCAGCCATCCTAAGATTCGTTGCAAGGTCTGTTGCGGTTGTGGTTGCGACGATGATGTTACATTCTGGGCCACTGCAAGGTTGAAACCAATGTTGTGCTGGCATAAGGTCGCAGCAACGGCAAGTCTGGTCGTAACTGTGGCAGTACCAGTGGTCTAGCATGCAGATGGGGCCAGTGTCCTCCTCCAGGCCGATTGCTATTTCATTCGTTTCCAGCGTCCCAATAGGTGTTCTATTCGCCGTGGGATTGAGGGTGGTGGCCCACGAAGGTGATTGAGTGTTGTAGATGCCCCAAATGAGCTAGCTGGGCGAGGAACCCCTAACGTATGCAGTAGTGAATACAGCAACTGTGAATACCGTCTACGGTGGAGACCCCTATGGGGCCACGGCCCTCGTGAGAGGTGTGCCGAAATGGGGCGGGGCTGCCATGCGAATCATGCCACTCAGGCCATCAGTGGGGCTCCCTATGGGGCCACCAGCCTCGTGAAGGGTGTGCCGACATGGCCCGAGGACGCCACGCGAACCCTGTCGTTGGCGCCTCTGGTGGAATTCACATGGGGCCACGATCCGCGTGAGGGATGTGCCGACATGGCCCGAGGACGCCATGCGAACTCTGCCACGCGGCGCCTTCGGTGGAGTTCCCATGGGACCACGATCCTCGTGAGGTGCGTGTGCCGAAATCGGGCTGGGTCGCCATGCGAACCCTGCCACTGAGGCATTCGGTGGAGTTCCCATGGGGCCACGATCCTCGTGAGGGGTGTGCCGAGACGGCCTGGAGGTACCATGCGAACCTTGCCACTCAGGCCTTCGGTGGAATTCCAATGGGGCCACCATCCTCGTGAAGGCTGTGCCGACATGGCCCGAGGCCGCCATGCGAACCGTGCTGCTGGAGCCTTCGGTGGAGTTCCCATGGGGCCACAATCCTTGTGAGGGGTGTGCCGACCTGGCCCGAGGCCGCCATGCGAACCCTGCCATTGGAACCTTCGGTGGGGCCCCCATGTAGCCACGATCGTTGTGAACGCTGTGCCGAAATGGTCCGAGGCCGCCATGCGAACCCTGCCACTGGGGCCTTCGGTTGATGCCACTGGTCCTTGTGATGTGTGTGCCGACGTGGCCCGAGGCCGCCATGCGAACCCTGTCGTTGGCGCCTCTGGTGGAATTCACATGGGGCCACGGTCCTCGTGAGGGATGTGCCGACATGGCCCGAGGACGCCATGCGAACTCTGCCACGCGGCGCCTTCGGTGGAGTTCCCATGGGACCATGACCCTCGTGAGGTGTGTGCCGAAATTGCCCGAGGCCGCCATGCGAACCCTGTCATGCGGGGCTTTGAGTGGAGTTCCCATGGGGCCACCATCCTCGTGAGGGGTGTGCCGACGTGGCCCGAGGCCGCCATGCGAACCTTGCCGCTGAGGCCTTCGGTGGAGACCCCATGGGGCCACGATCTTTGTGAGGTGTGTGCCTACATGGCCCGAGGCCGCAATGCGAACCCTGCCACTCGGGCATTCGGTCAATCCCCCTATAGAGCCACGAGCGCCGTGCTGGGTTTACCGAGCCGATCCACGCGGAGAGCAACGGCAAGGACGGAGAGGAGGCGGCGGATGGAGGAGGTGGAGGAAGCGGAGGAGAGGAGGAGAGGAGAGGAACGCGGTGCGCCGTCTCTTCAACAAGAGGGCCCAACACCACATGCTGGTTGGACACACGACACCAATAAGTAGATGCATAACGATCTTCTTGGCTTTCGGTACGCAACGGATGGGTGAACACTGTTTTGGGTCAGAATCCCGTTATCTCCCCCTCCCTGACTCGCCCCCCCCCCCGTCACGCGCGCAAGAGTTGGAGAGGGGGCGTGGCCTACTGGGGCTCCCAGCCAGCAAGCGGCTAGACGCCTGCTGGCTTTCAGAACCGCCCTCACAGGGGCCTCCTAGGGCCTGGGTCATTAACTTTAACGCGACCTCCTCCTCCCCCTCCATGGGCCTATCCTGCCTCATCCCCCGTTTCCTCCACCGCAGCCGTTTGGGCTCGACATCGAGGCGCCCTGCGATTGAGGGCGCTACGCCACCACTCGACGCACCAGGATTCCGGCGTCGCCCCCGAGACTGCATCACCAGGACTTTCTCCGATGGCTGAGAAAAGGGCCCGCAGGGTTCTTACGAAGGCGATGGGTCTGCCAGAGGGCGGCGATGCGCCAGTTTCCAGCGGCGTGAGCGTCGCCAGCGGTGTCAGCGCTTTGACATTGGCGGCTCCAGTCGGCAGCAGTCGAACGCATAAGCGAGGTGCTCAGCAGAGGCTGCAGGACGTGGCGATTCGCCAGGCGAAGGCTGCCCGCCAGGCGCGCACCGTCTGTGGTATCCACGGTTGCAACAAGCGCCTCAACGCTTCCGACAAGAGGAGTGCGGTTATCTTGTGCGTTGACCACTTCCAGACCTACACCCTTGGCTACATGTACTTGAATGACGAGACCGTGTGCCAGATGACCGAGAGCGACCACGCCTTCAGGTCGTGCTGAGAGACGGCGCACCAGGAGAGGATGAATAATCAGACCGAGCCCCCCAAGTGCAGCACCGACGTCGATGTTGTCACCTCGCAGCGTGCGACCTGCGAGAGGCGGGTGGGCTTTTGGACGAGAAGCGACATCTGGGAGAAGCTGGGTTACATGCCTGAGCAGCTCAGCCACAAGTGCCAGAAGCTATGGAACGAGAAAGGTGAGGAAGTCTTGGGCGTGCTGACGGACGAGACAGAAGGCGCCCCCCGTGTATTCGTCCTCTCGTGTTCGAAGGCCGTCCAGAAGCAGGAGGCGAAGTCCTCGGCCTCCGCCACCATCCACGCCGACCAGCCCGCGAAGGTCTACGAGCACTCGGTAGGTTCCTTGAGGTCCGAATGGGCGCCGAGCGGTGCCCCGATCATCTCGATGAAGGTCCTCGTCGAGCGGGCCGTCAAGAAGAGGGATGCCGACAAGAGGAAGGGCATTCCCGTCGATGATGATGATGATGGGGTGGCTGGGAGGAGGGATCCAAGTCGTACCAATGCCTTCCAACCGTGGCCTCATCCCTGTGCACCCCGAGAGTTTCTGTAAGCTAATGGTGGTGGGGGCACGTAGGGCGGCGTTGGTGCAGTTTGGATCTCGCCTTCAGGTGGGCGGCGCTCTAGGCGATGAAGGTCTTGAGGGCGCGCCTGCGGATGACGATGATCCGAGCGGAGATCCTGCCGCAGCACTGCCTTCGGCTTCGCTTGCGGCCTCCCCTGCTTCTTCGGTGAGGCCGAGCGTGGGTGCCAAGTCCGATGGCCCCTCTCCCAGCCCTGCAGCACGGCGTGGTCGTTTGGCTTGTGCTGGCCTCGGCGCAGCGACTAGCGTGGGCGACGCGGACGGTCTTGCTGCTGAGGTCGCCGAGCTCGCGCAGACAGACCCCGTCAAGGCAAAGTGGCAGCTCCAGATCGCCAAGGTGAGCCATTCGCAGGCTCTCATGGGAGCGGCCCTTGGCAGACAGCGGAGCACGCTGAAGGGCTACGCGGCCGAGGCGGAGTCAATGGGCCGCTCTGAAGGGGCCTCCATGAGGGAGCACGTCGAGCTCAATGCCAAGGCCGAGGCACTCGTGTCGGAGAACGGATGGTTCAGCCTGCCGAGGTCCGAGCTCTGTGAGATCTTGCAGAGCCTCAAGGACAAGGGCGTCGACTTCCCCACCAAAGCCAAGAACGATTGCACTGCTAGGGCGCTCCAGGACTGGTCGCAGAGCACGGATGGTCTTGAGGAGAAGGTCGCCGAGCTCATCGACATCGTCCAGGCTTGGCCCCAGAGCTCCGATTGTGAGAACACGTTTGATCCATTGAAACCCCGTCTCCGCCACATCGAAGGCTCCCCGAAGGACTTGATGACCACGATGTACGACAATTTGTTGAGGAAGGTTGTCATCCCGCTCATCAAGGACGGTGCCAAAGGGTTCGACGCTGTGATGCGCGTGATCAAGACCGTCATCGACCTGGTCACGGTTGCCTCCGATGACGAGAATCTCAACTTCGAGCCGTACGAGGACGCCGCGGACGAGATGTGCTCGATGCTCCGCGGCATCGCCATGATCATCCAGCCCGACGTTGCTGAGCAGAGGAGGATATTGGCCACCAATCGTGACTTCGATCGGGTCCAGTCGGTCTCTGCGAACATGGGTGCAGGTGACATCAACATCATAGCAACCTTGAAGCAGAGCAGCCACTATAAAGGCATGCTCGCTGAATACATTCGGTGCCGTCCCCACTATGAAGACATCATGCCTCGCTTGCTAGACGTCGAGAAGAAGCTTTCTGTGATCAATGGTGTCGGCAACTTTCAGGAGATGTTCGGGATCCTGAAGCTTGGGTGGCAGGTGAAGCTGGACGCGGAGGGCAAGGTGCGGGCTGCCCAGATGCAGCATGTGTCTCACAGCCTCGAGGCGTGCACCTTGGACGTTCTGAAGAAGGTTGCGGACAAGATCGAGGAGCAGGTCTTTGACGAGGCGGACGCCACCGGCCTCAAGGAGCTGATCGACACGTGCGAGACTGTGAAGTTGGAGTTCCCGTGCGCCCACCAGCTCAAGTCGTGCGTGATCGCATTGGGACAGAAGCAGACTGTCTCTGGCCACGTGAAGTCGTTCGTGGAGGCCCTGACGTCTTACCAACACGCAGCCACGCGGGAGAACCGTCTGGCGGCAGCGCGCAGCATCATGGGGATGACTACCACCTACAAGGACTTCGGCGTGCGTGAAAAGAACTCTGAGCTCGAGGACGCGATCTATGGATATGTGACACAGGCGCTCGCCCACCTTGGCAAGGGCGAGGACACCCATCTGATAGAAGCCACCTGCAACTTCATGATGACTCAGTGCCAGGTCTGCTCTGGCCTGATCGGGATCATCACGGACCTCTCCACGGAAGGGAAGAAGAACAAGATGGCTGTGGAGGCCTTGGCCAATTTGCATTGGGAGCTCGCGAGCATCTACAACTACATGGCCTCAGGCAACGACATGCCGAGCCGCGCGGCCAACGACAACGCCTCCGAGGGCCTGAAGCGCTTCGTGATGGGGAGGGCTGCCATGAGTCAGGTCAGGGGGGGGGCTCCAGGTCGGGTGAGCCCTGGCCCAACCAGATCAACGCTGTAGACTCTGACTGTCTTGGAATAGGTGGGTGGGGAGAAGAGGGGCACGCAGTTCAGAGGTGGGTTGAATGAGGAGGGAGAGTGGTGATAGGTAAGGAGGACAGGTAGGACAAAGGACGAGCGAGGGGAGAGTGATGTTGAGGAGAAGGGCGAGCAAGTTATGGGATGCAGTCGGGGGTCGAGGAGTGGGGCCCTTCTCAGGGATGTCTTCAGCGTTGCCTGGTTGGGTAAGGGTTTGCGGCCAACTGAAGCCCCCCCAAAAAAAAGGCAAAGGACACGATTGGCCTCGAATTCTTCGACCGCTGGGTGGAAGAGCTCTCCACGTTTGCAGCGGAGGCGGGCGACTTGCATTGCAGCTCTGCCCTTGACTCGGCAGCCAAGGCCGTCGGCAAAGTGGCGCGCAGCATGATCTTCGGCTGCGACGATGGTTTATGGCACGATGGCCTCGAGACGGAATGCGGCCTCGAGGGCTACCTCCAGAGGGCATCTGCGTCGCTGTTCGTCAACTGCCGCCCGAGCAGCCTGAAGAGCGAGATTGACCTGGTGGGCTCCAAGGTTTCGGCGGCGAAGGCCGCCATCCAGCTCCACGGCGACACCGACCTCGCGCGCGCCAGCGCGATGCTTGAGATTGAGGGCGCGCTCGACCGCATGAAGATCACCTACTTCGAAGGAATGGCCCTCGTGATGCTGCGGGACAATGCATCGGCGCCGCTGAAGCTCAAGCGGGGCCTTAAGACGTTGTTCGCAGGCCTCCCCGAGCAGCTCGTGGCGCACGTGCCGAAGACGCTCCTGGCTGAAGCCCAGGACAAGGCTGGCCTGAAGAAGTGAACGCCCTGGCGCTGGCTGTCACGCGCCTCCTCCTCCTCTTCCTCTCCGATCTCTCCTGTCCTCCTCCTCCTCCTCCGCCTCCTCCTCCGCCTCCTCCTCCTCCTCCTGCAGGCGCCCTCTGCCCGAGAGAGCCAGCGCGATGAGGTCGGTCTTCGCGCGATGAAGATCGCGCGGCACAGCCGCAACCCGCAGCCCCCCCCCCAGGGAAGATAGAGGTGAACCCGACGAGCACCCCCCAACACTGCGAAACATAATCAAACAATGTTTGTAGCGAATGCTGCGGGTTCGAGATTTTTTGGTGGCACGTACGCGCCTGTTCCGTAGTAGAGGCCACGTAGGTGGCATCATACAAGCCACCGCCACTGTCATATCGCCATCCCTGCCCCTGTCCTCCTCATCCTCTTCCTCCTCTCCTGTGTCCCGCTTCGTGGTTTTACGTTGCTCGCTGCATGGCCTAACTTGTCTAATTGCCAGGTTCGTTCATTCGAGTCCCCATGCGTACACAGAAGGGGGTCGCCAAACCCTTCCCTGGCATGGTTTTGGGCAGTGGCCTGTCCACGCCTCTGGCTAAATCGAGGGGAAGAAAACGATAGCGAGGGTGGATGAATGATGGGCGGACGGGGGGAACTAAGAGCCAAGGTACGGGAGGGGATACAAGGAAACGACTGGAGGGGTGAGGAGAGTAGACAACGCTGAGGGCCAACAAAATATGGGGCGGAAGGGCTGAATATTAACACGGCAGCGCGAGAACGAGGGACTGGGCACGGTGGGGGGGGGCACGCGAGAGGGAAAGGAGCGTTAATAGATGGGCGATACGGAAGAGGAGGAGGACAGGGAGGAGGAGGAAGATAATGACAAGGAGGACAGTGCGGAAACGCCGACTGCGCCGTGTCTCCCGCCATGCCGCGACAATCCTTGATCGCTCTGCCTCCACATCAGCCCCCTCTCCTTCCTCCTCCTTCTCGCCCTATTAGCCTCGAACAAAGTCGGTCCCGATGTTCGGGATCGCGCGCCTTTGCACTATAGCCTAACGGCTCTTGGGTAGCGGGGCCGTTTACACATCAACCGAAACAAGCATTTTGGCGACCATTCGAGATACTATTTTTTTTTCGTTTGTTTTGGGCGACCATTTGGGCGACCATTTGGGCGACCATTTTTTTTCGGGCGACCATTTGGGGAACCATCTGGGGAACCATTTGTGAACCATTTCGGCGTTCCCAGCCCTGTGCGCCACATGCCCATCACAATAGTAGGAGGAGGAGGAGGAAGAGGAGGAGGAGGAGGATGATTATCACCATGGGGCTGTTGGGAAGGAGGGGCAACAGCGGGATCACAGTCGAACGCAGGTGGGCTTGCCACACCCTGCGATGTGTGTGTGTGTGTGTGTGTGTGTGTG